CATTGGTTGAAAAGCCCCAGTCTAGAAACCAGGAGACTGAGTTCTAGTCCTGCCTTAGGCATGAAAGCCAACTGGTTGATCTTGGGCCAGTGATTTTTTGTCAGCCCAAATAACCATGCAGGGTTATTGTGAGCAAAACAGGAAGAGGAAAGACTATTAAGTATGTTCATCACTTTAAAGTATTTTTAAGAACAATAAAGAAAAAACCAGTAAGCAAACATAATTAAATCCCACCATTGTAACCCATTCTAACTTACATCTAAATTTCCTATTTGTAACAGCTGTTCTTTATGTAAAATATAGCTCAGAGTGCAAAGATCTCAGATGCTGGTAGGAGTATCTGAGGAAGGAATTGAAAAAAAGTATTTTAAAACTAGGGGTGACATGATAGCAGTGTTCCAATATTTGAGCAGCTGCCATAAAGAAGAGAGATCAACTTATTTTCCAAAACAACCAAAGACAGGACAAGAAACAATGGATGAAAACTAATCAAAGAGAGAAGCAACCTGGAATTAAAGAGAAATTATCTAACAATGAGAACAATTAACTAATAGAATAGCTTTTGCCTTCAGAAGTTGTTGGTGCTCCATCACTGGAGGTTTTTAAGCAAAGCCTGGGTAGCCGCTTGTCTAAAATGGTATAGTGTGAGCAGAGAGGATTGGAATAGAAGACGTCCAAGATCACTTACAGCTCTATTTTGAGTACATTAAACTATGTATATATTAGAGGTATAATACACTTTTTGAATTTAAAATTGAATATTTTAAGCTTGAAACAGGTGTTTTGCATTCAAAATGATTTTATTTATTTTGGAATTGTTTCAAGTTTAAAACAGGGTGATTCAGAGCTGTTGAAAGCTTGAATGATTTCTGCAGTGATCTAAACAATATGTGTGTCTGTGTCTGTGTCAGAGAGGGGGGGGGAATGCCTCTGCAGCATTGGGGCTCTCTTTGCTGTTGCATGCTGTATTTTTGAAGGTGCACATGCCACTGATTTCTGTGCTGCAGTTCATAGCAAAGTCATCTTGTTCCATTTTTACCCACAATTGCTGTTTCCAGATTTTTTTAAAAAAATCTGAATAAGGTATATTTATTTTTCTATATTCACTAGCTTAATTTTGTGAATTAGACAAAGTAATGGAGCATAAGTCTAATAGTCATATTAGCTCAATGGTTAAGCTAACCTCCATATTCAGTTCTAGCATATCTGAATATTAGCCTGGTGCTATATTTTGCTGGGAAGCTTTACAGAAATATCTTGCAAAATTGCATTGGAGCTAGGAAGCTGAGTTAGACAGCTTAGAATGAGCCACAAGAATTCCTGCCCATATGCTATTAATGAAGGGTATCAAACAGAATCAGAAAATTTATGCAGGCTGAGGCAAGGTTAATTATGCAATTAAACTAAGGCAGAGAAAGCTACTTGATTAATCTAGGCCAGTGATGGTGAACCTTTTAGAGACCGAGTGCCCAAACTGCAACCCAAAACTTACTTATGTATCGTCAGGTGCCGGGTGGGCATGGCCCATTGGGTGGATGTGGCCCATTGGGTGGGTGTGGCCAATTGGATGGGCATGACCCATTGGGTGGGCATGGCTGCGTTGGTAACAGTAGACTGGGTGGGACTAAAAAGTTCAATCAATCAATTCCAACTTTGTGAGACCTTTTTTTTTCCCGCGAGAAGTTGAAATTGATTGATTGAACCTTTTTTTTTCCACACGATGAAGGAGGTCTAAAGTGAAAAGGTTTTATAAAACCCAGCTGAAGGCCTAGGATTGGGGTGACGGCGTGCGTGTCCATAGGTTCGCCACAACAGATCTAGGCAATGGACTCTTTAAATGTCTTGTTCATGTTAGATTCTTTGAGCAACTATTGTGTTTGGCTTTGCAGAAGAGAGTATATGAACAATCAGGATTCTGGCTGGGAAGTAAGAGCTAAAGGAAAACAGTCCTATGTAGGAGAAATTGGATTGCTTTAAAACAGAGGTCCCCAGCCTTTTGGGCACCAGGGACCGGTTCTGTGGAGAGAGATTTTTCTGTGGACCAGAGGGTGCGTGATTTTGTGTGCTGCCTGTATCCTGTGGATGGGGCTTTGCTTGTTTGTGCAGACCAGTTGCTGGCATGCCGCGGCTATGTATTGGTCCACGGACTGGGGATTGGGGACCCCTGCTTTAAAACATCAATAAGTATTAAATGCATCTTGAAAAATTAAAAAATGCTAGTTTTATAGTTGTCTCTTCACTGCTATTCCTGTTTATGAATACAGAAAACACTGCCTCTGAGATAACACTACAATCATTACAGTATAAATAAAATAGTTTTGCTGGTACCTGATAGATCTTTTGGCTTAGAATAATGAAAGTATTTTCCAACACAGCTGTAGGTGATCAATTTTGAGAGCACACTTATGGGTTGATATACAGCTAATTCCCAAGTTACGAACATTCACTTAACGCTCATTCGAAGTTACGTAATCAGCACCCCCTAGTGTTTACGAGCAGGTCTCAAAATTATGAATATTGCAGAACCACGGAAGTCATTCGCTGCAATGGCTCTGCAACGTTCACCATATTCCCCCCAATCCCCACAACTGGGTGGGCGTGGCCCATTGGATGGGCATGGCCCATTGGGTGCGCATGGCTGCAATGGTCATCGCAGATGGTGGGCATGGCCACCTCAATGTTGCTCCTGGGGAGGAACTATTTGCCAGCTTCTCCATAAAGTCATTGGGGAGTGCCCTGCTACCGCTGCTCTCCTCCACCCCCACATGGCACCTTTCCAGCTCCGATGTGTCACTTCCTCTGCCACTGTGTGGGACTAAAAATAAAGTTCAATCAATTAATTCCAATTTTGCGAGATCTTTTTTTTTTCCTGCGAGAAGTTGAAATTGATTGACTGAACTTTTTTTTTCTTTGCACACAGCAGCGGAGGCCTAAAGCAAAAAGGTTTTCTAAAACCCAGCTTAAAAGCCACTTGCCCAGGGAGATTTTGATGCAGGTTGGTCATGGACAGGACTGAAGGACTAGAACTGGGGTGATGGCACGCATGCTCACAGGGAGGGCTCTGTGTGCCACCAGTGGCACATATGCCATAGGTTCGCCACCATGGGTATAGGGATTGCTGCTGCTGATGATGATGATGTTTGAGTAATATATAAATCACTAGTGAGGAATTTCCTGCAGACTATAATAAGAAGTGAGAATCTGCCAGAAACTAGATGACATGGCTGCTTTTAACATGAACAGTAACCTCTGCCTGCATAATTCCCCAACTGATAGTGATGTTAATTAGATCACTATAAATTCGACATAACCCCCTTTTTAGAAATTAAAGCCATTAGTTTTATTACAAAAATAACTACTATAGTTTAATCCGATGATCCCTAAAACTATAATAAAGTATACCAATGCTATCCCAATGATAAACTGCATTCTTCATAAATAAGTCCAGTGAGTAAAGCTATCATTACAGGACAAATTTAAAAAATGATTGGTAAATCTCCTGGCCCCATTTTCTCTTCCAGAAAGCAACCCCTGCCTGCAGGAAAGCAGCCCCAATCATTTACCTTCATAAATGATGCATATACTGGTGCCTCAAAAAGCAGGTTTAGTCCCCTCTGACGTTGCCTAAAAAATTACAGATGATGACCTGCTTTTCACCAATGATTTATAAGCTAGGCTCTTTTCTGAACACAAGTTCAGCACTGTTTTGAAACTGTACTAAATTGACTGGTTGCTGGATCAAATGACAGGTATATGATTAAGTGGGAGGGAGGAGTATTGAGAAAACTTCCACCCATTTTATTCAAACATTTCTTCCACGTTTGCATCCAGCTATGTAGTGGGAAAATTGACAATGAGCAATTGTCAATGAGCAGCTAAGGCCAGAAGTATCCTATTAAAAAGTAAGGGCACATTAGCGAAAACAGTGAAGCATTTGCAATATACTTTTTGGTGATTGTATCAGCAACATCTTATTGGCCAAATCCAATTCTCTCATTTTAAATTAAAAAACAGATCAATGCTTTTCTTTAAAAAAAAAAAAAAAGAATTCTAAAGCTATCTGTAGAGGACCCTGTCAAGACTTGGCAAGCATTTTGGAAAGCTCTGATCAGGCACCGCATGGAAGTCGTCTCTATAGAAGCCAGATGCCGAGTCTCTCTGACAGACCAAATCAAAATGGTTATGAAAGGAAGAGCCCAGTGATTTAAAGAGAGAAGCCTCAAGCTGCTTATAGGCCTTGACAGATCCCCTGTTCATTTCATCAGCCACACCATGGGCGACACCATAGTCCAGAGGAAAACACATTATACGGGAGAAATGGAAAATACTGAACAACTAAATATGACTTCAAGCTTTCTCAGCTGTGAGTTGAGATGAAACAACAGCATATAGTGGAGATAATATCATATAAAAATAGTTCTGGAAACCACGCTTATGCTGTGGATCTGGGAATGATCAAAGTATAATATGCAATTTTTGTAACTTTGGAAGACTCCTCCCCATTTCTCCATTTCTTTTATTGTGTTGAACTCTAGATTTCTGGCTTCACTTTAACGTTCTTAGGGCACGAAAAAATTCGCAGATTAGAGATCAGCCTCATAAGACCCAATTCCATTTCTGCCCTTTTTGCGTGGACTAAGTGATCTTCTCCCTCTCATACTATCGAGAATTAGCCGTACTATTTCTCCGACTCCTAAACTTGGACTCTTCTTCGCCGTTAGCCCAAAGCAGCGTTCAGAGTTTACAGAAATAAGACTCTCCTTCAAAAACCACACAGGCTTCACCCTTCTCTTACCATCTGCTTCCCCTTTCTTTTGACCTCAGTTTCACCCAAACAAGAGAACCCACCTCCCCTTCCCTGCGCTACGCACTTCGCCCTAAACTAAGCCAACCTCCTCTCAACCTCACTTTCCCTTTAAATCGTACTTTTGTCTCCGCCCTCCCGCCGCCTCATCTTCCTCGCGGGCGCGCGGGCGCGAGTACTCGTTCCCAATTCTTCAGCTACTTTTCCTCGCGCCGTCATTCTGCCCAGGCCGCGTGCTCAGGCGCGCCCCCGCCTGGTCCTTCCCTTACCCCCTCTCCACAACCTAACTCTTGGTTTAATTGGGCCTTTCGGGAACGCGCTTCGCGCAGCGGGTTTACTTTTCTTCAGGTGGCGGTGGCGAAAAAGTAGCTAAAGAAGGGTGGATGGGAAGAGTGGTGGGCGCGTTATGTTTCCGTGACTGGCCGTTAAGGTGTCCCTTCCCTTGGATAAGGATTGGCACGCAGAGCATCGAAGCTGGAGAGCGAGAGACTTGCGCCTGCCCCTTCTCCCACAGGTAAAAGCCTCGTTTTCCCCCTTTTCCACTCCTGAAAATGCCCCCTTCCTCAAATACAGTCGCTCTCCCCACTATTAAAACTGCCCTCGCCTACCGGGCAAGCAGTGCTAACCCCCTCTTCTCTATGATGTTGATTATCCACGAGGCGGGACCCCCCACCTCCTTCCCAACTTGGAGATGTTTCCTTCAATCTAAAACGTCCTTCAGTTCCCGGTTAATCTTTTCTACATCCCTCTCTGTAATCGGGGCTCCAATACTAGTCGAAGGCAAAGAGTTCCAGTTCCATTGCGGTACCGCCCGCCTCCATTTCTTCTGCCCAATCTACATCAGCTATTTACCTCCTGCCCCCCACCCCGTCATTCTTTTCTCCCCCATTCTTTCTTACTCCTTCGTCTCTCACACAAGCATCATCAACTGCTCTATACCCTAGTGGCATCCCTTTAATTGCAGGTGATCTGCCAACACTACGCAAGACCATACTACAAATACCCTTTCATTACCCTTCTATACCCACAAAAGAGAAAGTTGGATTTGGTTTTCTCATTCCTTTTATGCACATTGAAGTGGAAATTCTGATTCTTATTATAATATGCTGTTGGGCATCACGGATCATTAAGGTATGTAGAATGTGTAAAGCAAAAAGTAAAAAATAGTGCTTCTTGGATAGATTTGTGCACATCAAATATGCAATCCTTTTCATGATCTTTCTACTCCAATCAAACAATGCTGCTGTGGCCTGCTAACTGCTAAAATACTGATAATGTTACCTAGGGGGTAAGAAAATGTTTACAAGCAAACATCCAAGCTCAAGGAACACCAAAGTCTTCACTCCTAAAACAGTTTTTGCTCCCAAGCAGTAGCTTATCACTTTTTATTTATTTTTTTAAAAAACTATTTTTAAAGTATTTATTCATTTATTATCTCTTAATTCTGTCATATAAAAAATAGATCTTAGCAAATCTTAAAACATCCTCTAAAAATGCAACCTTTTCTAGAGCAACTCTGTCATTGATCCAGTTATTCTAACTGATATTTCTAACACAGAATTCCTTCCTAAACTCAAAGTCAATCCATTGCCTTCTTTATAACATTATCTTCCAAAGGTCATTATATACCATCACAAAGAAATATTCTTATACCAAATCACTCTAATTTCTGATATAGTCACATACAATTTCTTGTGATCTATTGTTTTAGGGTAGCTATCTATCTAGTATTATTATAATAACAGTGCAACCCAAACAGATTTAAAAAGTAAACAACAGGTTCACTTCAAAGTAAGTAATACAGTAATTGAACCAAAGGATTACTTTTCATTTTATTAGTTTTCCATGTGAACTATTTATTTACAAAAAGTACCTGTGTATTGCCCTTTGTAACTGTTTATCCACATGAGAACTTTGTTATGTTATGAAATGATAGACACTCAGGTATTGTTTTCAATTGACATTCTTCTGTGTGCACCTTTTTACACAGAAGTGGTATTGATATAGAAAATTCATTCTGAATAACTAAGGATTCAATTAACACTTCCTGAGACAATCCTTCAGTCTGTATAATCTATTGTCCGTTAATCTGACATCACTGAATTATTCCTGCATTCTTATATTCTCAGTGGATCATATTTCATCAATACCACCACTATTCCAGTAGCTTTTTCATTATATCTTTTTAAGTAATTCAGTCAGGCTAACAATTTTCCATCTTAAGGAGATTTTTTCATTTGAGTTTTTCATTCTTATTTTCTCACTTTAATGTTGACTGCTAATATGAAAACATTTCATGATTCCTCAATATTCTATTACCTTAGCATGTACCTTAGATTGATTTATCTACGAAAATTATTTTTCCCATGGTAACCTATGATTGCTATCATCCTGTTTAGTGTTTAACCTTTATTATCTTACTACTTGTTAAATATCAAGTAGTACCTTTTATCTTCATATGTACAAAATAAATCTTTTCTTCATTTCTAATTAAATGAAACAAGTATTTTAGAAAGAAATAGTGTGTGAAACAGGCTTTCTGTGATAGATATTTCAGTTCTCAAACAGAAGAAAAGGTTAAGCAACTTTCCCTTCTCCCTTTTAAAAGAGGGAAATGTGACAGCAAATAGTTTTCTATAATAGCATTTTGTGATGGGAATTTTCTAAGATTGCCTCCTACCACCACTTTACTTATGTCATTTCTTGAATGTCCATAAATGTATTTCAGGTAGACTACAGCCTCTTAATCTCATTACCTGCCATCCTCCATTTCTACATATTTCTTTATCCCTTGTTAGTAGTTTTAATACAAATTTCGTTTTACCTCATTGTTTTTTTGTGCCTTTCTAAAAGAAGTCTTGAAAATGGAAAACATCACATTTAAAGTTTGCATTTAAATCCCATTGCCATTGTCAGTACTACATAATTATGTCTGACATGTGGTTCCTCATCCCCTTTAGGAAAACAGAAAAATAGGGCGGCTTGTACAAATCTATTCCCAGTGTCTGCTTATTAGTATAAGTGTCTCTGCTTTACTCTTTTCTCTTCCACTTCCAGAATCTCAAAACTTAGCTTATTTTAGCATAAACTAAGGTCCCCTGTTCTTCCCCATCCTAAATGCCAGTGTTTCTACATTCTTATCTTTTAGGCTGGCTCCTAATAAAGGAGTGGATGGGACTGGCTGCTAATCTATAAGAACCTGGAATATTTTTTCTTTCTAGCTTTTTTCTGCAAGTGCAGAGTCTATGTAGGTTGAGAGAAAGTGCCTGGTCCAAAGTCATCCAGCCAGCTTTCATGCCTAAGGCAAGATTAGAACTCATATTATCTTGATTTCTAACCTAATGTCTTAACCACTAGAGCAGATATGAATTTGCAGTAAATGTTCAATTCATTTTTGCTTCCTTGAAATTAAAGATGCTTTAGGACAGTGGTTCTCAACCTTTTTAATGCCGCGACTCCCCAACCGGTCGTAAGTCGAGGACTGCTCAACCAGTCGTAAGTCAAGGACTACTCAACTGGTGCAGCACCGTTTGCAGAATGGGACTTTTGGCGGGCTCAGCAGGGCAGAGATAGCCTGGACAATTCCTATTGGCTTTTGAAAGCCAATAGAATTAGACTCTATTCAAGAGAGTCTATTCTATTGCTTTCAAAAGCCAATAGAATAAAAGGGAGTAGCACAGCTAAGGAAAAGGGGGAAAAAATGGCGGACTGCATTGTTTGGCGACCCCCGTGAAATGGTCGTTCGACCCCAAATGGGGTCCCGACCCACAGGTTGAGAACCACTGCTTTAGAAAGACATTACTATCGTCTATTGTCATTAAATCACAGTTGCATGTTTCTCAAATTCTGTTCATTCTTTTCTGGATAGTGTTAAAAGGACAGGCTGGGGAAGGGGGAAAGGAAGGATGAGGTCTCCAATTATTTATTAAATTTTATACAAACCCCAGATTCTGTAATCCCCAAGTTTGATTCATTTTCTTGTTTTCTTAACTTTCTAATCATGTTACATCTCTGCCTAAGCCCTTTCCTTGCATGTAGAGCAATTTAATAAAAGGAATTTAAACTTGGTCTTTGCCTTGTGACTTAATCTTGAAGTTACTTGTTTGTAAAAATGCTAATAGTAGCAATAAAATGTTTTCCGAATGCATCATTCTCCTTGGTTGACTGTTTTTTGTTTTTTTTTCAACACATGTAAAAGATTGAACTTCACATGTTTTTATATTGAAAATATTTGTTTCAACATTTTTATTTAATTACAAACGTCTTAAAATGTAGCTTGATGTTCATTTCAGATGGCTACAAGAAGTTTGTGTTACTGGCTTCCCAACTCCAGTGAGCAGTGTACAAAAAATAAAAAAAAATAGCTTGATATGTTAAATCACATAGCACAGACTAAAATGATCTAATAAACAACAAAATAAACAAAATAAAACAAGTCTTAGACAAATAATAAACATTGCCCCAGACCTGGTACCAAAGCCAAATTTGAGGGGAAAAAATATTGCAAGCATGATTGAATAGTGGCATTGAAGTAAATTAATTTTTAATGATTTAAACATTGTTTTACTATCTTTGTAATTTTCTTTGGAAAATGAATTGATTTTGCATCTGGAAACTCATTTACCAAATTATGATTTAATTCTAATTCAATAGTTTTTTTACCTGAAAAAGTCTAATACTTTTTATATTGCTTTTTATTAAATATTGCTTTTTATTAAATAGCTAAAAATAGCTAAAAATTGAGTTATCTCTACCTTTTCATCAGTTTTATTCTATTATCCTAAACCTCTAAACCAGTTTTAATTATAATAGGGGCTAACCAGAAGGAAAGATAAGAAGGGATCTCTTTACTCACTTTAGGAAAAAAAGAAGGGAGGGAAGCCTGTGGGTGCTACTCTTAGATTATTTTCATCTTACTGGCCACAGCTTAGAGGTAATTACTGAGACAGCTCAGTAGTAATTACCTCCAGATTTCTGTTTGTATTTTGCATCATGTTTGCCTTGAGAATAGAATACAAGGCCATAGGACTGAGAAGTACTTGCTACAGCAATAGAATCAAAGGGGGCTATTCTATGAGATCTTTTGTTTTTGAAGCAATGGGCTTTGTAAGAAGCAAGATTTCATTTCTCATTTCATAAGAATTTTAATAGACCTGTTTCTAGCATTACTGCGAATGATGTTATATATACCCCTTTGATAACATTGCTCATTTTATATTGTTACTATCTAATTTATTTAAAATTCCTATATCGACCTACAACTGAAACATATAAGAACTTACATTGTGCAGGACCTTGAAGACTTGGCTCATTGCCCAAGCTTTTGGCCAGGATGGTTGAAACCTTCAAGTAATATGTGTGTGTTTTAATAAATTTATTTATTTATAGTCTTAAGCTTCTACAAATATTGATCAGTGTTAAGTACTGGCTTAATTGATGAGAATTGCTTGGTTTTGTTTCAGATTTTTTCCATCCTCTAATCCAGTGGTTCTCAACCTGTGGGTCGGGACCCCATTTGGGGTCGAACGACCATTTCATGGGGGTCGCCAAACAAGGCTGTCTGTCATTTTTTTCCCCTTTTCTTTCGCCACGCCCCTGGCACCCGGTGATGTATAAGTGGTTGGGGGTCACCACAACATGGGGAACTGTATTATGGGGTCGTGGCATTAGAAAGGTTGAGAACCACTGCTCTAATCAGTTTTATCAAAAATTCTCAAATTTTCCTCAGTTAAAGCAACATGTTAAAATATCATAAAATAAGTATCAGTGATCAAAAATAATGACTTTCAAGAGTCACATTGCTTTGTTAATTCTAGTATTTTTAACATGATATTTTGATCAGGAATAAATCATTTTGGATTGCTTGTAAATTTTGGGAATTGAAGCTACTGTACTGAAGTCATTGTGATCCAAACCCCAATCAGTATGGGAAACTTGGTTCCCTCCATATATTTTCAATTACAGTTCCTACAATCTTTTGCTATAGACTGTGATGATTCAGTTTCACTTAGAGACAAACATGAGTTTATTTAAAATAGATGTTGATTCATATTTTGAAATAGATTAGAAAAACACAACATTTGGTTTAATGTGTTTTGTATTGATTAGCACTATAATTTTTTTTCAAATGTATTGTTTTACAAAATAGTATTATATTTTCAGACATAGTAGTCCTGAATGATTGAAATATGCATATTTGCATAAAAATATATGCCATATTTTTGCAACTCTTTTTAGCTCTTTTTTGGGTAATGTTAAATTGTATTTGTAGATATGGTTGTCTATAATTGGGTATAAAAACTACTCAGTTCCAGACATTACATTGACATGTTTGTGGAAGGGAAGGCGGTACTATTAGAACTGTTCAATCAAGAAGAGTTTCCAAAAACTTTCTAGTTCATGTTTTTGACTGAATTTCAGCTGTTAAAGGAAATATTCTTGCTTGAGCACAATTTGTTTCCTAGTTTGACTTTTGTATTATTCACATGTTTTCTTATACTTCACCTTAGCCACAAGGTGCAGAAATAATTGTAAAATCCTCTATTTTAACTTCCAAAAGGGAAGAAAAATCAATAAGCATTATAGCATGTACAGTTTTGTTTGCTTGTCTTATATGTAACTTTTACTGCTAAATTTTGTATTGATTATTAGATTTATATGTCATCTTTATTTTATAGAATTTAAAGTGGTATACAACATTTTCCGCACTCTTGTGTTTTCTGCTGCAACAATCCTTTGAGGTGTTTTGGAAAGAGTTTGGCTGCCCAAAGTTAGCCAGTTAGCTTTCATGACATGGCTTTCAACAAGGAGTAAAATTCACCAGTTTCTAGTGCAACGCTTTAGCCACTATACCAGACAGGCTGTCACTTAAAACATAGAGACATAAGTGAGATACGTGGCATACAATTATGAAGAATGAAGGCTAAAAAGCTAAATAATTCAAAATACCAGTTTCCTATTTTTCATTCACTTTTTCATCATATTTGCTTCACTATAATTTTCAGTAACTATACCAACATAAAAATGGGACAGTAATGGAGAAAATAAGTACATTTACAAGTTGGAAGAGAATCTCTACATCAGTGGTTCTCAACCTGTGGTCGGGACCCCATTTGGGGTCGAACGACCATTTCACGGGGGTCGCCAAACAATGCAGTCCGCCATTTTTTTCCCCTTTTCCTTAGCTGTGCTACTCCCTTTTATTCTATTGGCTTTTGAAAGCCAATAGAATAGACTCTCTTGAATAGAGTCTAATTCTATTGGCTTTCAAAAGCCAATAGGAATTGTCCAGGCTGTCTCTGCCCTGCTGAGCCTGCCAAAAGTCCCATTCTGCAAACGGTGCTGCACCAATTGAGTAGTCCTCGACTTACAACCGGTTGAGTAGTCCTTGACTTACGACCGGTTGGGGATTGTGGCATTAAAAAGGTTGAGAACCACTGCTCTACATGGTACAGATTTTATAGAATCTGCCTTGCCACTTTTTAAAATTTTCTCATCGGAAGCTTCCCACTTTAGTAAGCTTTGCATAGCATTTCTATTGTTTTGGCCCTCACTGTTCTTTGTCACAATTTTAAGACAGTTGACTTCATCTATAGTCTTTTGTTACAAGAACTTTGAAAATGCTATACTTGTTCATTTTTTCTTACAGTCTTCTAAAACTGTCTTCTTGTTGATATTTGTTTTATCAGATTTTCTCACAATAATTTCAGATAGGTTTCTTACTGCCGTTCCAGTTATCATTTTCCAGGTTTATAACTTTTCTATCCAGCTATTGGAGTCTACTGACTCAGGCTCGCTCTTATTATTCACATCCATTGTTAAGCATGTTTTTCTAAGATTCTCTAAAATCTCCACTCATTTCCTGTTCACTGACTGATCAATGCTTTTGGTTATAGCTAAACCAAATTTGTGCTAAAAATCAATTTACACAATATAGAACAAAGGAATTTATCAGCTGGATCTAGAAGCAGATATGTTTTTTTTTTATGAAAAGGAATCTCTTGGGTGTCCTTATGGAGCAGTTACTAAGCAAAAAGATAGCCTGTTGATATTTAATACTATTGTTATTACCTTTGGGAAATATTGGATAGAATCCTGTAGTTAGAAATAAAAAGAATGGAGTTTCATATGTTGAAGGCATAATTATAAGCATTCCAATGAGCAAGAAAAGTAGAAACCTCTCAACTTATAGAGGAATTTAGAGAAAGATTATGGAGTATAAAACATACATTTCAGTTCAATATGATATTCTACTTTTGCTTAAAATAGAAGAAAGAATGCACAAAGTAAAATGTTTATGAGCATTATTGAAAAATGTTTATTGGAACCAGGCACTGAGGCAATATTTCTACAATTCACTTATGATTAGTTCTTCTATATTCTGAAAAAAATAATATAAGATTCTTATAATTTTCTCATGAGATTGTTGTGTGAATTAATGTTCTCTTTGTAATAGTTCACCAAGACAGGAACAGAATTTTATATTTTAATTTAACTCTTACTATTTTGGAACTGAGTCTCATTGGGTGAGAAAGATGAGAAAGTATGAGAAAGATTGCATTCTAGTAGTTGGATTCTTTGAGTCAAATAGTCTAAACCCTCAAATATATTTAGAAATAATATGTGAAAATATTCAAATACATATGATTTAATTGGGTATATGTTATTTAGTATCTTCAAAGCACTCAGCAGTATTCATTCTTCTATTTTTAATTTTTATTACTTTTCATTTAGAATATAAGATGTCGACTGAAGGGCAGAGAGTTGATGGTAGTCCAAGTACCAGTGGAGGCAGCTCTGATGGAGATCAGCGAGAAAGTATTCAACAGGATCAAGAAAGAGAACAAATTCAACCCAAGAAAAAAGAGGGCAAAATCTCTAGCAAAACAGCAGCTAAACTTTCAACCAGTGCTAAAAGGTATGTGCTCCTTGGGTTAATTTTCAGTCTCTTTTCTTTTAATAATTATAATTGATAGTCTTATCATATTTATATGCTAATGGACTGATTGACAATTCTGCAGAATGTGCAATAACAGTTGCTTGTTTAATAACTATACTCATCTCATTGTTATTAAAATTGGACCATTTTATAAGTCATGTATGTATGTGTACATGAGTAAGAAACAAATTAATATTCATATTTGTCAATGAATCTTATAGTTAATTAGTCTTAAACATTTCAGATAGAATAACACAGTAATTCTTACTGCTGTAAAATTCACATTTCTCCTCCCCCCCCCCCCAATTGGGTAGATAGCATAATGCTTTACAGCCTTCTCTGAGAGGTTTACAGAGGTAGCATATTGGCCCCAATAGTCTGGGTCTTTTTACCTTTATATTACCCTCAAAAGGATGGAAGACTGAGTCAACCTTAAGCTGGTCAGGATCAAACTCCTGGCTGTGAGCAGAGTTAGCAATACTGCATTCTAACAACTGCACCATAAATATATACAATAAAATATATAAGTGTCACTTTTAATTTTTTAATAAAAGTTTCACAAAAAACAAAACTAGCACAAATTAATAAATAATAAAAGAAGAAAAGAAAGAAGAAAAGTACAGAAAAAATATGAGAAATAGAAAGAACCTTTCAATTTTAGCAAATATAATTACAAAATTATCCTTTAGTCTATGATTTAAAAAATCATTTTTTCTCTATCCAATTTTTTTTCTAATCAAAACTGAAAATCATGTGCATTTTTCTCCTTTCGAGCAAGAGTCTATAAGGGATTTGAAGTCGACCTAAAATGTAAATATTTTTTTTCTCAGACTAAAGAAGTTAATTTAGCTATCTCTGCAAATTTCATTATCTGTGCTCACTGTTCTTCCATTGTGGGTAATGTTGAACCAGTGTGACTTTTAATTTTATAACGCTGAATGATAGAATATCTTAGTATTTTGGCTTTCTTTCTTACCTAAGTGGTAAGCAAAATCTAGAGAACACTCAAAGATTTTTAAAGTCATGATTATTGTATTTAGTTTTGGTATAGATAGAGCTTGGATTAATAGGTTTTTCCAAAGCACATGACTTTAAAAATCTAAACATTTCTTGCTTTTCCAGTATTATTGAATTGTACACATTCTGACAACACCATTTTGACATACTGCAATTCCATTCTTCTCTGTTCCGTTTAGGTAGTTCACTGACTTTGCAAATTTATTATTTGTAGGTACTGTTAATTTGTTAATGATTTTGAGATGATCTGCGTATCCAAATATTTGAACATTTCATAATCTAAAAGAGAGCTTCTGAATTCAAAGTAAAAAATGCAGTCCAGGTTGTAATTTCAGAGGTTTATCATCAATAGCTTCATCACGATTATCAAGAAATTATCATTAAGAAAATAGAGTTAACTTTTTAAAAGGAGAATATAGCTTTAATTAACTTTTAAAGAGAAAAAAACTTTTCTGGTGTACTCCTGTTATTAACTTACAGTTTACCTTATACAGTATATTAAACTAGAAGTTTCATTCCATGAACTAAGGACAAGTCCATTTTTTGAAAGATTGTATAGGTAGATCTGGGTATAAGCCCCAGAGAAATAATATTAATACACAGTTAGCATTACATGAGATTACAGGTAGTCCTCAACTTACAACTAGACATTTAAAAACTGTTCATAGTCACAATGGCCCTGGAATGGGTGGTTTATGATCCATACATGTTTCACCAGCCTATCCTGCTCACATGACTGTATTTCGGGCACTTGACAACCTGTTTATATTTAAGACAAGTTGCCAACTGCCTTGCAATCATGGGAACTCTATTTGCAATCTTTTCTGCCAGCTTCCTCAGAAAATCAATGGGAAAGACATCAGGAAAAATTTCAGGTGGAGGGGACATTAGCACTTCATACAGTGAGAGTAAATCCTCTCATTTCTTTGAGGAATGAACCTCCAAACTGGCAAAAATAATAGAAACGTAAATATTTTGAGCCTTTTAGAACATTAGCACTGTAGGGAAGAATACTAGTGAATGCCAGCATCACTATCCCTTTGAAAGAGAAAATACTAACAAATGCCAGCCTTTTGAGCTTTTAGAACTCTGGTATTGATTACTGTTCTCCAGCATAATGAGTGTAGCATCCACCGCTGGGTAATATCAGCCTTCCTGCTCAGTTGAGACTAAGTCAGAACTTTAGCCACGCTTCCCTTAGGCGGTTCCCTCCCAGTTTTTGACTTAGTCTCAGCTCAGTAGGATGCAATTTATTTGGCTTCTCAGTTAGGCTAGATAAATTAGATATAATTCAGGTTTATTGCAAGTAAATTGGATTTAGGATTTAGGCTTTGACTTCTGTAGATTGCTAAAATTCAGTTAGGTTTAATTTAGGGGATCCAAGAACAACTTGGGTGTCCTCTGAGTCCCAAGGGCCTTACAGGCCTTTTGCGGAATGAATTTCAAGCCGCGCCGGATCGCCGAGGGATTTAGCCACGAATCAGCTGTTTAGCACTGTAATCGGAGGCTTGTTCATCGGAGGTTCCCGGGAGCGCGGCTCGATCAGGCGACCTCAATTTTCCAACCTCGTGGCCGTTGTACACAGTGATCCAGATCGCAGTGGAGGCTGCGCAACCTAAACACGAGTTGTCTGGCCTTATAGCAAAAAAGGGAGGAAAAGCATTAGTGAACTAATTCCCTCTCACCTTTCTCAGTCCAAACGGTCTGTGCAGATTGGGATTTCTCCCTGGAGCGTCACCATTTTGGGAGATGAGGAGGTTCATGGCCGCCATTTTGAGTTGCAAAACAGGCGTGGTCACCATTTTGAGGGCCCTTGTGTGCTATAGTAGTACCATCGGGCCTGATCCCAGCTAAATTTGGCCTGCTGTGCCAGACTTTCAAGGGGGATTTCCAGCACTCCGTTGCTCATTTCTTTCCTATTCAAGGAAATTACAGAAAAAAATTACAGAAAAAAATCCGCCATTTTGGATTTCACTAGTGATCACACTTATACATCACAAATACTGTTCTTTCTGTATTACCCTCTGAGAGGGAATTGATTTAGAATCCACCTGTTCTTATTAGTTCGCGTCACTGTGCCAGCAGGGCCTAGACAGGCAGTTCTAGTGAACTGTCTGGCTGTTTGCCATCGCGGTTCATCAGAGCGCGAGAACCTCCCTCTCTGATAACCAGATCTGCGTGTTGTTTTCCCCCATTCCTGGACATCTCCTACTCGAATATCCAGTGTGCGATGGCAGGCAATGCAACGCCTCAGGCATTGCAGGGCACTGACGTTCCCCCCGCACAAAAAAAGTGCAGATCTACTGATTTGGAAGCGGGGGGAAAGAAAAAGGCCAAGACAAAACACATAGAGCCCTCCAAAGCAGCTGAGCAAGAGGCCTCGAGGAGACATCAGGCACTGGAGAAGGAGTTCTCCAGAGCTCAAAGGCTCAGGTCCAGTGAAGCTGAAGTGGTTCCTCCCGTTTCACTGGACCCATCCCCATTCGGGCCTCAATTCGCGCCTTCTCACGATGCTCCTAGGGCATGGTCTCCTCAGGGGGAAACTGAACAGGTTGGTCCCTCCTGCTCCTTTTTCCATCACACAACAAGCTCCTGAAACCGCATACACTCCCACTGCAGCGGGAATTCGTTATACAGACCAACAGGAGGCATGGTCAGAGCATTTCCAGGCATTCATGCATCATGCCTTTGGGCAATTTATGGCCTCATCCATGGGTCAAAAGTCTCCACAGGTACCACCACCTCCGCCCATACCTTTACCTCAAATGGGGCGTGCCCTGTTAACCGGCTCTGGTGATTCTGAGACATCTTCTCAGGGGAAGAGGAGTCCGTGGACCTGGAGACGGCAGAAATGCCTATGTCAGAGGATGAGGAGGCAACGCCGGATCCGACCCCGACATCGGGTCTTTTCGATCCTTACCTGTTCAGGTCATTGCTTATGAAGGCCTGTACCGTGGCCAAATTGGCTGCTGAACAGGAACCTAAACCATCTACCTCCACTGAACAAGAGTCTAATCCTTTGTTTGCAGAGAAAGTAGTGGAAGAGAAACAAATTCCTTGCCCAAGTGTTTTCTGCGCCACTGTGGAGAAACAGTGGGCCTCATTGGCTACTCTGCCTTCTCCCGATAGTACGGAAAAGAAACTCTTTAATGTTTCCTCTTCATTTGCTTCTTTTATAGAGGTGCCTACTGTAGATTCTCCTCTCACTTCATTGTTCTCCACATCCACTATTCCAAGAGATATGGCTGAAGCCCTGAAGGGGGAGGACAAGAGTTTGAGTTTTCTCTCCTCAGAGCTCACCAGGCCTCAGCATGGGCGGTCAAGACGGCAAAAGGAGACCATTCCCTTTTTCTCCAGGGCATCCATTATGTGGCTTCATGAACTGCAGGCCCTGATTTCTCCTGACCAGGTGCATGCACACCAGACGTTGGGAAAATTACTTGCCGCATTGGAATATATGGCAGACACATCTCTCCACTCTGCCAGGTACTCTGCCAGATCTATTGAGGCCACTGTCTCATCCTGCAGGCTGCTGTGGTTGAAACAGTGGAGGGCAGATTTAAAATCCAAGTGGCGCCTATCAACAGACACGTACAGCGGTACAAAGTTATTCGGCCCTGTTCTTGAACTATACCTTATAGAGGGGAAGGACAAGCGCAAGGTTCTTGCACACCCCTCTAAGAGGCCGGATAGAAGGCCCAGCAGGAATTCCTCAGGCAGTCCTTTCATGCAGGAGGTTCCTGGGAGTGGAGGCAGCCCTTTCGGACTGGGCAGTCCTGGGAATGGTACAGAGGTTCTCAATCCTTTTCCCCCCAGATAGGACAGCAGGACCGCCAAAATCCTGGAACCAAGAGCCAATTCCAGTCCAAGTGACCCTTTTGAGGGTCCGGGAGCTGCCCTTACAGGTGGTCCAAGTGACGCGAAGATGGACCCTCCCATAGGCGATCGCTTAGCGCTGTTTGCCAATATTTGGGAGGTCACCACAAGCGACTCTTGCGTAAGGGAGACCATAAGATACGGTATCGCCCTGGAATTTATATCCATTCCTCCAGACCGCTTCATTTAGGGTCCCACCTCAAGGAACACAAACAAGGTCGAGTTAATTGTTCTGTCAGGAAATTTCTCCTTAGTTCTAGGTTGCTTCTCTCCTTGATTAGTTTCAATCCATTGCTTCTTGTCCTGCCTTCAGGCACTTTGGAAAATAGCTTGACTCCCTCTTCTTTGTAGCAACCCTGAGATATTGGAATACTGCTATCATGTCATCCCTAGTCCTTCTTTTCATTAAACTAGACATACCCAATTCCAGCAACCATTCCTTATATGTTTTAGCCTCTGGTCCCCTAATCATCTTTGTTGCTCTTCTCTGTACTCTTTCTAGAGTCTCAACATCTTTTTTACATCGTGGTGACTAAAACTGGATATACTATTCCAAATGTAGCCTTACCAAGGCATTGTAAATTGATACTAATACTTTACATGATCTTGATCTTGATGCAGCCTAGCACTGTGTTGGCTTTTTTGGCAGCTGTAGCACACTGCTAGCTCATATTTAAGTGATTGTCCACTAGGACTCCAAGATTCCTCTCACAGTTACTATTGAGCAAAGTACCACCTATACTATACCTGTGCATTTGGTTTTCTTCCCTAAATGTAGAACCTTGCTTTTTTCACCACTGAACTTCATTTTGTTAGATAGTGCCCAGTGTTCAAATCTGTCTAGATCCTCTTGTGTCTTAAGCCTATGTTCTGGAGTATTGGCTATTCCTGCCAGCTTAATGTCTTCTGTAAATTTGATGAGTTCCTCATCTATCCTCTCATCCAAATCTTTGATGAAGATGTTGAAGAGCATTGGGCCTAGAACAGAGCCCTGGGGCACCTTACTACACACTTGCCTCCTTGTCGATGCAGTTCCATTGAGGATTACATGCTGAGTACAGCCAGTCAGCCAACTATGAATCCATCTGGTGGTGATGCTGTCTAACCCACATTTTGCTATCTTATCAAGTAGTAGGTTGTGATCTACAGCATATCTCAGTGGTTCTGAGATCACATCTGCCAGTTCCTTGAGAACCTTGGGTATAATCCATCTGGTCCCAGCCACCTCTGGAAACCTCAACCAGACAAGCCCAGCAGTGCAGCCAAAGCCTCAGCACTGCCCTCTAAGAACCCTGACATCCTACACACAGGCAATCTTCTACTGCCACAGTTTTCATCATCTTGCTCAGAGGGCATACTTGCAATGGCCTTTCATGAGATACCATGTTTCCCCGAAAGTAAGACCCAGCCAAAAAGTAAGCCCTAGCTTGATTTTTGGGAGTGGGCCTATTCCCAAAATAAGCCTTAGTTTTGGCGCAAAAATCAAGCTGGGAGGAATGGGGGGGGTTGAAGCTGCCTCACACGCCCTGTACCTGCTTACCTTGCCAATAGGACTGCCGCAGTCAGGCCTCCCATGCCACACTTGTCAATCCGCATTGCTCGTCACCAGTGCTCCCACTCCCAGCAGAAGGTTGCACAGAGCTTCGGGCCATTGCTGCTACTCGCAGCAAGACACTGCATGGTGCTTTGTGCCATTTCTACTGCTTGTGGCAAGAAGCCACACGGTGTTTCGGGCTGTTTCCTCTGATTAAAGCAGCATACCACATGGTACTTTGCGCTGTTTTCACTCCTCCCAGCAGGACGCTGCATGGTGCTTTGGACTGTTTCTGCTGCTTGCAGCAAGAAGCCGTGTGGCGCTTTGGGCCGTTTCTGCCAGCAGAAACGGCCCGAAGAACCATGCAATGTCCTGCCATGAGCAGCAGAAACGGCCTGTAGCACTGTGTGGCTTTTTACCACAAGCAGCAGAAATGGCCCGAAGAGTTATGTGGAGTCCTGCGAGCAGCAGAAATGGCCCAAAGTACCATGCAGCGTCCTGCTGCGAGCAGCAGAAACAGCCCAAAAAGCCATGTGGCGTCCTGCCAGGAGGAGCAGAAACGGTGCAATGCACCACATGGCGTCTGGCTACAAGTGGGGGTAAGCAGCCACAGAAGAAGTCAAACAGTGGCGCAACAGGTGTTGGGGTGTGGGAGGCCTGGCTGTAGTGGTCCTAAGGTAAGACATTCTCTGAAATTAAGACCTTGTGCCTCTTTTGGAGGCAAAAAAAATATAAGACCGGGTCTTAATTTCAGGGAAACATAGTAGTTGCTGGCCACACAAGGCCTACCTTCCCATAGTAGTTGCTGGCCACACAAGGCCTACCTTCCCAAATTACTGCACATGATCTCGGGAAGAAAAACTCAGATGGCTAGCAGCTGTCTCATGAAAGGCCAGGCCAGACTAAATTGATCAGCATTGTCTTTTAATTTGTAATTAAAATCCTAGTTTTATTCCTGGTGATTAACCACCTTCAATAAAACTGTTTTTTAAAATACTTCTACTATTTTAATTTGTATTTCTTTTCTTTTGAGGATTCAGAAGGAGCTTGCAGAAATTACATTAGACCCTCCTCCAAACTGTAGGTGAGTTTTGAAGTTTATTTATCTGTAATACCATGTGATATTTCATCTAGCATAAACGTTTGCATAAACGTTTCTTCAGTTTCATTAGACATACGATGAAAAGGTCTGGAAATATTTGAAATATTTACAGGAAAGGCTATAGTGTCACATGTTTTCCAGGGAACTTACTTCAAAATATGTTTGTGTGAATCTGCCTCTTGCTGATACAACTCTGGTTGAGAAATTATTTGGAGATGTAGGATCATTTGAATCCTTCTAATATCTCTTCACATCCTACTCTGCATTTTAAGATGCTTTGGTTAAAAAAAGGTATACTATAAATCAGAGAATATTAAAAGGGGTTATTTAACTTTTATTTAAAGGGGTGCCTGTCACTGTTTCTGGGGCTGTCCTGTGGATCTAAGGCTGAGCACGTTCTGGCTTTGATGGTTGGCACCAGGTTATAGATCAGTGTCCGGTTGGCCTGGGCTGGGCTGAGGTGCAATGGGCTGGTCCTTTGCTATTTCCAAAGCAGGTCCCTGGGCCAGCAGAACCGCCCCACAGGCCTTGTGTTTGACATGTCTGATTTAAACAGTCTAATGTTATTATTGATTATATTTCATCAAGGAGCTGTAAACTTCTAACAACCAGACAGATTTTTAAAAACAATCCAAATATTACAGAAAGATCTTTAAATTTCCCCCCAATCCTATGTGGTTTAATAACTGTTAGATTCTTTATTGGAAAATATTACCCAACATTAGTCTCAATTCAGATCATTTACGTAATATAATTGTAGCAGCACTGGATAGTGGATATATGGGGAATTATATGGGAAACATTAACATAAAAGAGGAAAGAAGAGAAAAGCTTGTATTGTTCTTCTTCTCCACATTATTTCTATTCCAAGTTCAATATACTCTCAAGCTGAAGGAAAAGATACAGCAAAAGCAAAAAAAAAAAAAAAAAGATTATTGTGTACTGAGATTATAGTTCAGCCCAACTATGCTATGAACAACGTTAATATAACAAGAAAAACTAGATGTGTACAATCCATGAAATCGGGGAGTCAGTTTTTCACTGTCACTTTATACAGCATTATCTTAATCTTTTATCTGCATAAGAAACATTTTGGCCTTTTTTGTTTCCATATATTATGCACTAATTCATCATGCTCATAACTTGAGGGAAAGAAGGAGGGAGTATTTCAGATTCTCACCTTATTTCCTTACCGCTGTTGTTGCATAAATAATTCCAAAGAACATGAATGTGTGTAATAATTATTATACTGTATATACTTCATGTAATAGATGCTGATGTAGACAGTAAATTTCAAATGAATGACAGTTTTTGGAATGTTTCCAGATTATAATTTATACAATGATATATTATTTTACATACTTATTTTTTGCATAAACAAAGTTTATTTTACAGAAACACTGTGCAGAACAATTTGTAAGACTAATCTATAAACTGGGTGTATTAAAATTGACTTTTTCCTTGCATGTTAATTGCTCTCATGGTTATTTTTTATAAACTTAAACTTAAAATTCTTAAAATGTTCTTACATGCATTAACTAAGAAATATACATAGGAAGGCTGTATCATTATTTACTGTTCCTTTAAGCAAAGAACTGCAGTTTTCTAAATTATGCAGAAAATTATGTGCTTGTGTCATACAGGGCTGTACTAAAAGCATCAGTCTTATTTAATCAGTCAAGTTTAATGATGACTTTAGGCACAAATCAGTATTTATTCATACTTTACTGAGAGGTGTGATTGTGTACTATTTCAGTAGATATTGTATTAAGTCTAAATTTTATAATTGTATTAAGTCTAGATTTTATATCTGTATTGCAATTATCCATTAATGAATGGCTGTAATAAATTATTATTGAAAGAAACTTAACTGAAGACTTATTTTTCCTTAGGGAATTAAAATATTTTGCCTTTTGAAACTGAATCTCATCCACATTCAATAAACATAGCATGTAAAAAGAAAGTTAACAATCAATTCAATTTCCATGAGATACCATGCACATAACATTTGCCATGTTACTAAGTAAATCTCCTTTGCGTCTTATCAATACCCTTCAAGTATTGAAACATAGTTTAATTCTCTAGCAAAAGAAGCAATAGATGATATGTTTGGGCAAAATAAAATGATAGTAAAAACTCCTAATTTGTCGTTAATTGGATGTAGACAATAGAAGTCAAGCACCTGGAGAACTGTTTCTGCCTGAATGTGGACAATAGAAGTCAAGCACCTGGGGAACTTTTTCTGCCCAGGTGTATAGAAGAAATAGTAAAACAAACACATATTAAAAGAAAGTGAAGCAAGTAATTAGAAGACTTAGTGCAATGGGAATTTATAGTATCTGCCATTAGTCTTTAAGTTAGCAAATTTGAGGGCTAGGAAAGCATATTACGTTGTATTGATTGTTCTCTTGGTTCAAGGAATAATACTATTAAAGGAAATTTAAAAACTACTATGGCTCACTGGCCAGTTATAAAATTATAGAAATATAAAACAAAATGCCAGTCTCTTCTTGGTATGCCAGATAATTCAGTGTAGACAAATCCAGCAATGGGAAGAAAAGTTGTTAGAGATGACTGGGAAGACAAGTTTAAAAAGGGTAACATCTAAAATTCAACCTTACTGACGACCTCTGATGGGATGGACTTATTTCGTTATTGTTGCTATTGTTTTAATCTAGTTTGGGCAGACTGGTAGAGCCTTTTTCAGTATTTTAAGAGTGAAATTGCAGCAGACAGCATGCCACTTCAATGCCCTGTAGAGACCAAATAGTATGCTCCAAATAGCAATGTTAAAGTGCAGTTCTTGCTACCGTGTTTCCTCAAAAATAAGACTGGGTCTTATTATTACTATTTTTGCCTCCAAAAGAGGCACCGGGTCTTATTTTCAGGGTAGGCCTTACCTTACCTCCGGCACTGACAGCCCCAACCAGTTGGTCCACTTCTTCTGGGGCTGAAGTTCTGCAGCTGCATTTGAGCTTGCCTTTTGCAGTCAGGCCTTTCCAGAAGGCCTAAGCAGCCGAGTATCAAGTTATGGATCCAATCCATAGTTTGGTGCTCAACTGTTGAGTTCTTGCAGAACCGAGCTATGAATCCATAGCTCAGTTCTTGGCTGTACAGACCTTCTGGAAAGCCCTGTGACTGAGAAATGCAGGCCTGGCTGCAGAAGAGGCCTCAGAAGAAAAAGTGAGCCGACAAGGAAAGGTCTGGCTGCAAGATAAGTGGGTGCAGGGTGAATGGGGCAGCTCCACACCCCCACCCCCTCCCTAGCTTGATTTTTAGGTGTGTGCCTCGCCCTAAAACTAGGGCTTATTTTTGGGATAGGCCTTATATTAGGCCCAGCCCCTCCCCAAAATCAAGCTAGGGCTTATTGTTGGTATAGACCTTATTTTCTGGGAAATACGGTATATTATAATAGTGTAGAATCTTTGGGTAGTTGAAGTCCACAAATAGGCCTGAATACTTTCAGGCCGCAGAATTCTTACTTATGTGAAATGACCACTGATTAGCAATTATCATGTTTTCTAATACATAATCTGTCATCAAGGATCTACTGTCCCTCAATGAAATCGTTTATAGTAAAGCTTTGTGACTTTGAGAGCAACCCAAAGCTTGTGTTCTAGGAATTCCTGATAAAACTACCAGTATACTTCTTCAAAACTAATTTTGAATAATTTCAAAATTTTCATTATGCCAAGGCACAATGGAAGCACTGCATCTAGCAACTCCATCTTTTTATTCCCATTAAAGAATGAGGATTCTAAACTTGAATGGCAAGATAATCAACTTATAGACAGATATATATATCCTTAGTGGTTGTAAAAATACGAATCCCGGGCATATTTGTTCAATGATGCAATCTTCGATCTCTGGGAAGAGTATACTCCAGTTATTTATAGTTAAAACAACATTTAAAAACAATAAAAACAGTTATATACAAGGTTAAAACAACTTAGCTTTTGCTGGTCCTCTGCCAGCATCCTCAGAGTGGGGCTTAGGGGGTGGGAAAGTTCTTTTTATCCCCTTGCAGTTGGATCAGCTGCAAGGGGATAAATACTTGTAACCAGTGCTTTTTTTGTTAAAAAAAAAAAAGGGGTGCTGGAACTCACACACGTCATACAACCTGCCTTGCCTACTCTATAAGGTTCCATCCAAAAAAGATGCTGGAACTTCGTTCTGGGCGTTCTATGACAAAAAAAGCCCTGCTTGTAACAATATGCAGTTCTGCTTTGTGGAAAAACATTATGAACTGTGTGTAAGATTTCCTTTCTATATATACTTTATATATGAAAAGTGGATCCTAGATAATGTATGTTTATTGTGAAAACTTTGCATTTTACAGAGCTTTACATTTTCAGATCTTTTTTCTTCATCTGTTACAGCTTAAGGGTTTTTCTCCTATGGTATTACATTTTCATGAGTATGTATTTCTATGAATGATTTCTTTTTCACTGATTTTGGTTGTAATTCATCTTGAATGTTTCATCAAGGTTGAGATATGTTGATAGCGTAAGAATAAATTCTTTTTATTTCTGCTTTCTCATGATAAAACCTCTTCTATATAAGGTGACATCATTTCTGACTTTTTTTATAATTCATTCATATTAAAGAAACATAAAGAATTATCTAAGCAAACATAAACTGTGCTAATATGCATACAATGAATAAACAGTAACATTGCCCCACCATTATCTTCTAAATACAGTAGTGATATTTATTTGAATTGAAAATATTTTAGATTTTCTAAATACTACATACTAAATTAAATTTAGTATTTTAGAAAATACTATGCAAACAGTGGGTAGGGTATTAAGTACTTTGAAGTAGTCCGCATATTTCTTAGAATAGTAATGTTGAGATCATGTTCAATATCGAAAGCCTCCACTATGACAATTTCAAACTTCTCTCTCTCTTCTTGATAATTCCAGATGCATTGTATCCACAATATTCTATCTTGGCATTTGGGACAGGTGAATGAACTATTC